AATGATAATGATAATGATAATGATAATAATAATAATAATAATAATAATAATAATAATAATAATAATAATATCAATTACGAGAATAGTCACAACAGCATAAACTATGAAAATGAAAATGGAAATAGGCATAAGAATGAAATATATGCAAATAAAAGTAGGTTTTTAAGGAATCTCTTGTTTCATAATTGTTGAGCTTACTTGCATTTCGAGTGAGTGTTGGGTGAAGAGATTCGAATACTTTTTAGGGATTTTCCGGTGAGTTTTCTTGACTCGTTAGCTTGAATTTTGTTGTGACGATGATATCTTGCTCTGATGATATTCGTCAAAGGACGGACGAAAGCTTAACACCTTTTCACCGGAATCGAAGGAGATTGCCTCGGAAACAGCGTCCGCATGAATGTTTCAGTAAAGCCAACCGACAGCTTGTCAAAAGGAGTTCGTTGTCGTCTTCTGGTGGAACCGACCTTCGAATCTCTTCACCCAACTTTTTTATTCGAAATGGAAGAAAGCTCAACAATGAGAATGAAAATCTAGATGAAAATGTAAATGTAAAGTTAATTTAAAATCATGCTTATAATATTACTAATGCTGACGATGATACTACCAACACATTCAAAGTCTCAGATACTTTGGACAGTGTAAAGAGGCACTTATGCTCACATGCCGTATCTTCTTCTTTAACAGACTTTCTTGAACATTAAGCATAAAAGCTTCGATTTTCCCGTTTCCATGTCTATCTTATTATTAGGATATGCTCATTCGCGTATGTTCCAATGTATATATATATACACGTGTGTGTGTGTGTGTGTGTGCGTGTGTGTCCTTATGTGCAAAAAGGAGAATAACCAAAATGTCTCCTGTTTTGGTTGTAGTCTCCTTTCGCTGCATGGCTTTGGTTAGGCCTCGCTGTCTCAACTTTATCCTGTCGTCAGGGTGACGTCAAGTAAGTGCCTTGCCAGACGTCTCTGTCATAGAATTTAGAATAATTTCCAGCATAAGACTGTGGAACCAAGTGTTTGTAGACTTGTGGCCGGCTGCCAAGCATGACACGTCTCACTGACGTTGCCGGCGAATAGTCGTGGAATGTACCAATTGCACGATCTGGAGGTGGAAATTGCGATGACAACGATGCCAGGAGACTGCTGCCATGACAACAGGACCGAGTTGGGGTGGCGAAGTCAAACGATATCTCAACCACGGTTCAAAGGGAATGCAGCCTCATTTCTGATTAATCATTCTTATTGAAGATATGACGACCAAGATGTTGTGGCCTCTGTTAGGGTCGCAGTCTCCTTTCAATTTATAGAAGTGGGTTGACCTCGTTGTCGTTGTCCAGACAACTACTCTGGCAGACGACTTCGGACTCGGTGCGTTCTACATAGTCTCCCTGACCACAAGACCAAGTTGCGACAACGAGATCAACTCACTTCTATAAATCATTCTTATGCCCATTTCCATTTTCAGCTTCAATTTTGTTTTCATTTTAATCTTCATCTTTTATATTTGATGTGCGAAAAAATTGGGTTTCGAGGGCTCTTTTGTTTCATAATTGTTGAGCTGACTTCCATTTCGAGTGAAAGTGTTGCCTGAAGATATTCGAATACTTTTTAGGGATTTGCCGGTGAGTTTTCTTGACTCGTTCGATTGAATTTTGTTGTGACGACGACACCTTGCTGTGATGATGTTCATCATGTGACGGACGACAGATTAGCACCTTTTTACCGGAATCGAAGCAGATCGCCTCGCAAACGGCGTCAGCATGAATATTCCAGTCAAGCCGGACCCTTGAAATGGAAGAAAGCACCAATTACTAATTATTTCACAATTTCAATGCTCTTGAATCACGGGAAATGCTAAAAAAAATCCCATTTCTTCAAAGAACTACTCCAAATCTGAGTTGCTTTTTGCCAAAA